GTGACGAGGTCAGCGGGTCTGGCGCCGCGGGTGCACCCGGCGTCGCCACCCCTTCCTTCTGCTGTGCATTTCCTTCTGCTTTCTTGCTTCCTGACTAGGAATGTCCTGATTCTTACAATGCATCCCATCTCTGTGTTGTCATGTTCATTACCCATATTTTCTTTGCCGTCATGATTCATTTCCTTCATTATTTTGACCATAACTGGTTTTAGTTCTGATATACATTTGATATTTTGAAGTTTCTACAAGTCTTCTTTCCTTTTTTTTTTTTTAAATTTATTTTCTCTTCTGGTAAGATATTTCCTTCCAGTAATGTTTGGATTTGGGTATAATCAGTAATTCCAAAAAAAGTATACACAGTTAGTGTGACTTTAAGGCAAACCCAAGTGTAACTCAAATGCATTTTTAATGACGTCTGTGTAGTAGTGAGATCCGTTATTGTGCAAGAACATAACCATACCCCACCCCCACCCCCGTCACTGGCTTACTGGCAAATGTGCAAAGGACTTTTGTCACTAAAATACACTATTTTTTTCAGGCCCTGTTGCTGTGTCATTACCGAATCGAGTGCTGCTTCTCCTGAAACTCCCAGACTTTGTCAGGACAAGGTGCTTCAGATAGGCTAAGGCTTGATCTGAAATGTCAGGCTGCAAAGACCTGACCTTGAATTTCGCGCTCACTCGCGGTGCTGCTGCGGGGGGTGTGGCCGCCAGCCCGCGCATGGTGAGAAGCTGCTCTGCGAGACAAGTCTTGGCTTTCGGCACCCCGTGGGGACTGTGATCCTCCATGAGCACCCCCGTCCGACCGGCCCGCGGGGACAGCCCCTCTCAGCCGGGACGTCTGATGTTGGGTGCCTTCAGCTGCATCCAGTCTGGCAACCAGCAGGTTCAGAGCTCTTTGTCTCTGCTATTTTAGTTCTTTCTTTACTCCTGGTGTGTAGCCCTTACCTCTGAGGTGTGGCCTTTCTGGTGTCTCAACTGGTTGCCTGGGTTGCATCAGGACCTCTTCCCGTTGCTCCAACAGGTCCCCGTGCTGAGACCTCTGCCGCCTGATGACTTGCCACCAGAGAGGCTCAGGGGTCAGGGTTAGGCTGTTGTAACAAAACTTCCTCTGGTTCTGATTATTTGTGTGCTTAAGTTTATGAAAGAGTAGGGATGATATTCACCCTGTACCCTGCCCAATCACTGGCTATAGGAACTGTCAGTGGGGAAAATAAAAAGCCCCAGACATTGAGAGATATATCCAGTATAATTAAACGTTTTAGTCTTAATCAAAACTTGCATATATTTATATTGCTTTAATCAATTGTGTGTTAATAGGAGTTGTAACACCAATTCAACCGAAAGGAAATGTTTTTAACCAAAGAGACTTATGTTCACAGGAAACTGCAAATCTCTCTCTCCCTCTCTCCAGGGATAAATAATAGAGTCATCAATAAATTATGTCCAAGTATAGCCCTGGCTTGTGTGGCTCACTGGACTGAGCGCCGGCCTGCGAACCGAAAGATTGTTGGTTCAATTCCCAGTCAGGGCACAGGCCTGGGTTGTGGGCCAGGTCCCTGGTTGAGGGTGTATGAGAGGCAACCGACCAATGTATCTCTTTCACGCTGATGGTTTTCTCCCTCTCCTCCTCCCTTCCCCTCTCTCTAAAAATAAATAAGTAAATAAATAAATTAGTTCAAGCAGAAACACTTATTGCATTTAGAAGATAATTTGTGGGGGAATTTGAATGGAAATGAGTTTAGAAAAGAAGGATTTGATAGAACTCCTGACTGTTGCCCGTGAGACTCTATGTTTATAAAACATATGACAGTGGGTTTCAAATCGCAATGGCTCCATTTGGTACATTTAAGGAATGATGTCACGGTTTTTATTATGGTTTATTTTAAAAGTCAGTATTTATAACATTTGGGAAATGATACCCATTGTGACTACTGAAACCTGGGAAGTTTTGCTCCTGTCTGACACAGGGGCAGGGCTGCCTCCCAGTGTCCACGGAACTGGTTTATTGGGCGCTTACGCAGAACGCTGTGAGGACCGCGGGTCCGGCAACCCGCTTCCGAGGCCCGAGTGACGGCAAGCAACACAAATGGCTTTCCTCTCTTCAGTTTTGTCCCCCACAGCCAACAGGTGCACCTTTTAAAAGGTTAAATCAGCTGCACGACTCCTTGCTTGGAAGGCCCAGTGGGTTCCCCTTTCGCCGCACGTGGACGCCAGGCCGCAGCGAGCCCTGGGGGGCGCTCCCTGGTGGACGCGGCCCTGCCCTTACCTCACTCACGGCCTGTCCCCTGCCTTGGACCACACAGGATGGGCATGCCCTGCCACAGGGCCCCTGTCCTTGCCGTTTGCCCAGGTGTCGCTGTGCCCCCTCCTCCGCCGGCCTTCCTCTGCGTCTGGTCCGCTGCCCCGGCCGTGCAGCACCAGCTGTGCGTTTATTCCCGCCTGCGCTCTGGGTCCTCCAGCCAGGTACGCCCCGAGGCAGGCGCCCGGGGCAGGCTCCCTGCTCTCTTCCCGCGCCTGCGTCCAGGATGGACCAGATGCGCAGTACAAATGGCCTGGAGGAAAGAGCACACCTTCGAAACACTCGGGCTCCCTGCGGCTCCCTGGCAGGAAGGGCAGCAACACACTGCCCCCGCTCTGGCGTCTGCCGAGGCTGCCTTTCCCCTCAGTGACCACGGGCCACGGGCTGGCTTCCTCCTGGGCTCCTTCTTCCACACGTGACGACTCCACACGGATGGGACAGGGCAGCCCGGTTGGCTCACGGCGGTGCATCCACCCAGGCCTGTGCCAGGCACACCATGGATGCTTGCCGAGCACCCAACGTGGGCGGAAGGCGGAGTGCGAGCCCGGCCTCTGCTTGCGGCCTCCCTGACCGTCCCTGCCCTCGCTGCCTCCTTTGCTCCCAAGAACTGCGAGGTCCTTGCCATTTCTACCTGCACTGGGCCTGTGTTGCCCATCTTTCTACCCAGGCGCCTGTGTCTACGGGGAGGACACGCCTGAGGTGCGTTGGTGCAGTGCCACAAGCTCGCCCTCTTTCTGTCTGCAGGCCCGGGCGCCCTGCCCGTGGCAGACACTCTGTGCTGATGAAAACACGTCCCGCGTCAGTGACCATTTCTAGGAGCCTCGTGTAGGCGTGTGAACAGCAGACGACATGTGCTCTGAACATCATCAACATGTTTATCTCAGCGAAGCTGCTGACAGCCAGGCAGACAGTATGTGTCCTGGGCGGGGTGCACTCAGCCCGAAGCAGGGCACAGAGCGCTGGGACCCAGGGGCCTGGGACAACACACGCCACGGTCTCCTTGTCAACAGTGACGTGGAATCGTTCGTTATGCTTCACCGTATGCTCTTCCTTTCGATCGACTGTGTTGTTTTAATTTTATTTTTTAAAAGATTTTATCTTATTTATTTTTAGAGAGAGGGGAAGAGAGGTAGAAAGAGAGGGAGAGGAATAGCGACCGAGCGCACGTGACTTTTGGGGCTTTGCTGGACAAGGCCCACCCGACGAGCCACGCTGGTCAGGGCTGTCTGTTGTTTTTAAACCAGGGGTCCCCTGCTTACCATTCCCAAACTTGTCTCAGCACCACCTAAACCTTCTCCGGTACATAAACGAGTATTTAATGAGAGTGTTGTTCCAGTCTTTTTCTTCTACGACATTCTGCCATACTTGTGGTTCAAAGTAGTTTGAACTCTTAGGAATCTGTATTATAATAACGAACACATTTATGGCAAATAAAACATGCAAGTGTTACATTCAGAGGGGCCCATTAATGTCCATTTCCTTTAGAATGAGACTTTACACACACACACACACACACAAATTTAAAAGACAGCACAGGCCGCCCCAGTTGGGTCCTGCCTGGGGCCTCTGTTCAGGTCTTGCTCCCCCTGCTCAGGTTAAGCCCCGCTTCCTCTCACGTCTTTCCGCTCACACTGAGCTCCTCCTGTCCTTAAATTATATCTTTGTTTTCTAATTGCTCACGATTAATCGGCGAATGATGGAGCACCTCAATGATAGCTGGCCCTGTCGATAGGGACCAGCTCCTCTTGGTCCTCACGGCAGCTCCTCCCGGGACCCTCGGGGTCCGCGTGCCTCCTCCAGCGGGGCCAGGGGCGCGATGTATCGTGGTTCAGATTTTGCGCAGACACAGTTGGCGCTCACGTTGCCATTCCTGGCACGGACGTCCCCTCCACTCCACCGTTCCCGTTTCATAAGCTGAATGGTGTCCCTGCTCCCGACCAGGCACCGCTCCTTAAGGAGCGGTGTGTTGTGCACTGAAGGTCCCGGTTGTGCACGGAGGGCGTCCGCAGGACCAGCCGTGGGCGCTCCGCTTTGGTCCAGAGCGTGTCCCAGGCGCCCACGCGCGTTTACAGGGTTTTCACTGATTGCGAAACATCCACACTATGACATTCTCGATGTCGAGGGCGTCTGCTAATGACCCTAACTGGGATGAAAAGTGACAACGTGGAAACTGTCGGTGTTGGATGGTTCGCGAGAGGCTGTTTCCCGCTGCTCGAGGCTCTGCGGTGACCGCAGAGACCCAGCGCGCGGCAGCCCGCGGGCATCTGCGGGCGCGGCAGACCCGACGGCCGAGCCGCCGGCCTCAGGGCAGGTTGCCCCGGCGCCCGCAGACGCCCCCAGACGCCCGCGACGACCTTGACCCACCCCCGCCCCGCCGGGCCGCGCGCCGCTCGGCGGCTCCGTTGCCAGCCTCGCTCCGCGCCGGGATTTCCGGGCCGCCGGAGCCGCGCCTGCGTCGCGCGTCGCGGCCGGACGTGCGGGCGCCGGGCCGGCGCGCCTCGCCATTAGCGGGCCGCGGTAGCCCCACTGCCGTGCGTCGCCCCGATAGGCGGGCGCGGCCGTCCGTCAGCGGCCCGGCGCCGCTCGAGCGCGCCGCGCGTGTCCCGCCCCTCGCCGCCGCTCGTCGCTCGCCGGCCGGCGGCCTCGCTGGGCCTCAGCTCCGTGGCGGCGGCGGCGGAAGGGCCGGCCCGCGCAGGCCCATGGCGGCGGCCGCGGCGCTCCCGGGCGCGGGCGGGCCTCCCGCGGGCGGCGGGGCCGGCGGCGGCGGCGGCGGGGCCGGCGGCGGGTCCCCGCCGGGCGGCTGGGCCGTGGCGCGCCTCGAGGGCCGCGAGTTCGAGTACCTGATGAAGAAGCGCTCCGTGACCATCGGCCGCAACTCGTCGCAGGGCTCGGTGGACGTGAGCATGGGCCACTCGAGCTTCATCTCGCGGCGCCACCTGGAGATCTTCACGCCCCCGGGCGGCGGCCATGGCGGGGCGGCCCCCGAGCCCTCGGCACAGCCCGGGCCCGACGCCGGCGGCGACTTCTACCTGCGCTGCCTCGGCAAGAACGGCGTGTTCGTGGACGGCGTGTTCCAGAGGCGCGGGGCGCCGCCGCTGCAGCTGCCGCGCGTGTGAGTGGGGCCGGGACCGGACCCCGACCCGCGACTCGGCCTCGGCCCTGCTTGCAAGTGGAACCCAGGCCAGGACCCCGAGCGCGGGCCCCCCACCCCCGACCCCGGGCCCCCCACCCCCGACCCCTGACCCCCGACCCCCGACGCCGTCCGCCCTACCCACACCCGAGACCTGCCCCCCTGCCCCCGGCCGCGTCCTCTCACCTGCGGCCCCACCCCCACGCATCACCCGGGCGCGTCCGCTGCACGACCCCGGCCTCCTGGCCCTCGTCTGCCCCGTGCCCGGCCGGGACGCGGGCTCCCCGGGTTGGAGGCTTGGGCGCCGCGCGCGCGGGTCCGGGGCTTCCGGCTCCTCTGCGCGTCCTGGGCGTCCGCGCACGTTGTCCCTCGCGGGCCGGCCGGCCGGCGTGCGGGGGGAGGCAGGCCCGGGCCGGGACGCCCCCGGGGCTGGTGCGCCGCCCGGCGCCAGGGAGCGGGCGGGGTGTTGAAGCTGCGCGGGCGCCCCCTCTGCGGGCGTGCTTTCGGCACCCTAAGCGTGGGAAAGCCTCCGGGCGCGGGGAACCTCAGCATCGTGGAAGGACTGAATACTTGGAGCAGAACTTTTGGAAAGTCGGGCGGTTGTTCAGTCCTTAGCGTCGGGCCGTCGGACGTGTTAGTGCAGTGCGCTTGGCAGCTGCTGTCCGGCCGCGGCCCTCGGCCTGGTGTGGGGCGCGCGAGGGGCTCCCCAGCCCGGACGCCGGCGATGTCCCAGCAGAGGATGCTGTGTCTTTACTCTGAGGGTTTTGAGATTTTTCAAGAAAATTCTCGTTCCCGTTGAGCCCAAGTCATGTGTGTGCGCGTGCTGGACACGGCGACAGCTTGGCCCGTGGGACGGGGGTTTAGCGAGGGGACTCGGGGCGTCGAGACGCCAGCGCGGCCGGGCGCCTGGCAGCGCCCCGGCAGCGCCCCTGGTTCTGTGACCGCCTCCGGAGGCTTCCGGGGTAGGGTGGTCCCGGGCAGGGTAACGGGACCCACTGGGAAGACAACCGACTCTAGCTAAATGTGGACAAACTTAAAACTCTTTTTCTTGAAATTAAGCTCAGTTTTAAATTACAAGTTCTTCTAAAGTAAAGAAAAAAAATCAAACGCTGTGCGTTTAAAAGCAGGCGGGCCGCAGAGCCCTGGTGCCGAAGTGCCGGCCGCGGAGGGAAGAAGGCGCAGGGCAGCCCGGGACCGGTCTGCTGCCTGGATGATGAGGGTTTTATTCCATTTCCAGCGTCGAGATGAAATTATGTTTTGCAGTTAGTATTAGACACTTACCTTCAGTGCATTTGGAAGAGCACATGAGTAGTCGAGGCCTAAAGTATGGTTCGTCTCTTTTTTTAAGTGAAGATTTTATTTATTTGTCTTTAGAGAAGGGGGACGGGAGGGAGAGGCACATCGATGCAAGAGGGAACCATCAGCCTGTTGCCTCTCGTCCTTGCCCGACCAACCGGGAATTGAACCAGAGGCCTTTCGCTTTGCGGGGCAACACCGAACCCACTGAGCCACACCGGTCAGGGCTGGTTCATCATTTTATGGAAATGCTATATGTGTTAACTTGGGGGGAATAGAGAGAGATGAGGGCGTGACCCTGTAGTTGGCTGGCACGAGTGTTTCGAGCGTCACGGCTGCATGGGCTCTGGACACAGCACCCTTCCCGTGGTGGCACGTGACTCTGCCCAGACGGGCCAGCGTGTGTGCTTGCGTGGGGTGCGGTGGGGGATGCTAGGGCCGGCGGTTTTCCAGAAAACAAGTGATTTCCACAAATCCTTGATTTGGGGCCAAGTACGCAAGGCTGTCCACACAGAAACACAGCTCTCTCTCCGGGAGTGCCTGGCTGGCAGGAGGCGCCGGAGTTGCTGGGACGGAGGCCTGTTCCGTGGGCTCGCGGGGGAGCCCTGCCCCACCTGGGCAGGTGGAGGCGCCTGTGGGCGAGGCCGGGCGGGCAGCGGGCATGGGAGAGGCCGTGGGGCAAGTGGCGGGTGCGAGGTTCACGTGGACCTGGAGGGGCGGCTTCCCCGCGCTCCGTGACAGGGTGGAGGGTGTTCCCTCCGAGGACAGGGCCCTCTGGGTCTCAGCACCTGGTCTGCGGCCTGAGGGAGCTGTAGAGGGTTTCAGCTCAATTGGTTGGGCAGGGATGTCTGGGTGTTTTGTTGCTCTTGTTTCCATGGTAGTAAACAAAGTATAATTTAAAAATAAGCAATTCATTAACAGTTGTTCTTTGAAATGCCAAGTGAATTTGACAATAATTTTGATCAGTAAGATCTTACAGTATCTAATAGGAAAACATAAATAGGACAAGTTGAACTTATCATTGTTCCGGACTCTTGAACATGCAGAACGGCCGTCACGCGTGTTTGGACGAGCGGCCCGTCCCGAGGCCGCGTGACCGGCCCGCCTGGCTGTGCGGCGGCGTGGTGGAACCAGCAGGTGAAGCTGGGTGATGTCGCCTCGGAAGGTGTTCGCGTTAAGTCAGAGACAGCGCCCTCTGCGGTGAGGACCGGCGGGGGCCGTGGCTGAGGCTTTGGAGCTTTCCTGCGGGGGCTTCAGATGGGAAGAGCGCAGCCCGTGGGTCCTGCTCAGAAGCGGGGGCAGGGCGGGGCCGAGGGTCCCCGGGGACCGCCGCACCAGAAGGAGGGAAGCGATGAGAGGGGGGTGCCCAGAGAGGCCGGGGCAGCGGCCCGCAGCAGCAGCGCGTGGACCCGACGCTCGGAGGGTGGGGAAGAAGGCTGCCCGCGCAGGAGGCTGGAGAGCGGGCGGGGGTGAGGTTAGGGCTGGGATGAGTGGAAACCCTGTGGATCACCAGGGTCAAGTGGCTGAAGGAACCACGGGGAGATGCGGCCCGGCCGGGGGCGGGGGACAGAGGGGCACGGCCGAGGTGCGAGGCAGGACTGAGTCCCCAGCAGAGGAAGGCAAAACGGGGTGTGTCTTGTTTGAAGGCCCCGGCATCTCCCCTAGTGGGGCCTGGCGTTGTCCTTTGTCTTTTCTCATTCACTTAAAAGGATTTTTGTCTGCCCCCCAACCCCCTGTTTCGGCAGCCGTCAGCCTGTCCTCTGCATCCACGTGTGGCTCCTTGTCCCAGGGCTGCAGGGTCGGCTGAAAGGCCTGCGTTTTGTGGCCTGAGACCCTGACGGGCCGGTCAGCAGAGCCGAGGGCCGGGAGGGGCTTGGCCCTTTGAAAAAACGCTCAGTGTGCAAGTCAACTGCTTTTAATTTAATCGCCACTGTGCATTTTTCTTTAAAAGCAACAATATGCGTTCATTTGGCAAATGGACGTGATTTTGAATCACTGATGTGTAGACATCGGGGGACACAGTGCAGCTCTTTTATCATGATCGTTATGTTCCTAAGTTAAAAGTGACCCGACAAGCAGCTCTCTTCTTCCCCAAGTGTTTACTAGTTCTTCCAGGGGTGACACTCAATTTGGTCATTTTAACGTTTACTGAGCAGTTTAAGGCAGTGCAGGCGTGAGTTACTTGGAATTTCTGACACACCTCGAGGAACAAGCCTGTGAGGTGGGACGCGGCGCCCACAGGGGTCTCGCGTGCCGACCGGCTGCCTCGGGGGGTGGGGCGCGGGGGCCCGGATGCCCGCCCCGCCGCTGCCCCTCTGAGGGCTCCCCTCCTTCGCAGCCTGGCACTGATAACCGTCTGACGCTGTGGGGCGCGGTGAGCGTCTGCCTCTGCCCCTGCAGGCCTCGGCGCTGCGGGTGTTTGTCCGTCCCAGCGCCCTGGTGTGTGAGCCCCGCGGACCCGCTGTGGCAGGCGTGTGGCATGTGGCTGGAAGTGGCCCCAGGGGCTGGCCCCCTTGGACTTGCTCATAGCGCCTCGTGCACCCGGGCGGGCAGTGAACGGATCGGGCGTCTTGGAGTCTGGAGCGAAGTTTGACGTTCCTTCCGCCAAGAGAGGTCGCCCTCTCCCCTCTGGGACCTGCGGATGGAGACTCGCCGTGGGGTGTGCTTGGGGGGCCTGGCGGCCGGGCCTGGGGAGGTCCGTTGGGCGTGCCTGCCTCACGCTCCGTCCAGCCCGCCCGCCCCGCCACCAGAGCTGCTGGTGGGGGAGGACAGCGCTGCCCCTGCCTCGGCAGGGGGGGCCGGCTTCACGGCGCGGGCGCTGTCACTCGGGGAGCTGGGGTGTTGACAGGGTATTGTTTTTGTTTCTTAAATAGCTTTTTTATTGAAGTGTAACAAACCACACAGGCTTTTGAAACTCAGGCCAAGGTTTCTTTTTGCGGGGCAGCGAAGACCTGAAGCCAGGCCCCCGTGTAGGCCTCCAGGGGGCAGTGGGTCGTGGGGCCGCCCTCAGGGCCCGCCGGCGGCCCCTCGGCTGCCGGGCCGCAGTCCCTGTCCTCCCTCCGCGCCTCCCAGGAGGGCCTGGGGCGTGCGCACGCGCCCCCTAGAAATGGCACAGAGCCTTTGTCATGTGCTCCGTGTCCAAAATACGGGTGCCCAGGGACCGCTGGCGTAGGACATTACTGTTCCGTGAACATCCCCACGCGCTGATCATCCAGTGGCAGGGCTCCCGCCAGACGAGGCTCCCCGCTTACGGTCCCCTTCTTATCAGCAGGCCCCACCAGGAGCCCCGGTCGCAGAAGCACGGCACAGCTTGGTGCACACTTGGCCGGCCTGTCCCAGAAGACGAGGCTGTTAGAGTAGCAGCAGGCTTTTCATGGTGAAAATGCAGCAATTCTTGCTTTGCTGGGGAGAGAGGGTTTTTTGGGGGTTTTTTGAAAAATGAAGAAAAGAATTTCTAAAGTAAGGAAGCTTTTAACAACAGCATTTATTATTTTGGGTAGTATCCTGTCTTAACATTTTCACGGGGTCCCTGTTTTCTCTTGGGTTTGGGTTTTGGGGCAGCTCACAATTTCTTAATGATAACGCAGCGTCAGCCCTGCACCCCGGGGCTGGCTGTTCACGCGGAGTTTTGAATTCACTGACGGAGTTTTGAATTCACTGACGGGCGCCAGGACACCTGGGCACGT